AATCGTTGATCGGAAACAAAGACAACAAGAGATGATGAGTATTTTTCCCACTTTCGGTAGCAGGCAAGAGATTCTTCGGTGAGTGTGAGAAGAAAATGGAAAAGAATCGGCATATATTTCTATGATTTTAAAATAATGATTGAATAACAAACAAAAAAAATCAGTTTTAAGAAAAGAATAAATACTAGTATTAATGCACGGACACAGTTTAAATTTGATTTTAAAGTAGAATAGTATATAACAATAGAAGAATGTTATAACAAGAGACATTCACAAACCATCAAATGGCATAATGAAAGACAAACGAATGGTTTAGATTTATGTTTTCCAACATAATTCAATGGGATGTATAACATTAAGAGAATGATGTTCAGAAGCTGGAGAGCACTTGAAATTTCTTGTTCTGCAAAATGAACAATTCTTGATCTGTTTCACATAGTTGGATACCATTGCATGTTCATCTTTCAAGACCTGTGAAAGGGGATGCAAAGGCTGAGAACATAAATCACTCCCATTATCCCATAAGAAAGGAATTGAAACCAAATCTATGGGAAATTCATAAATGACTTCATTTTGAAACAGCCTCAAAACTTATATTCACAGGGAACTATTGTAAATACCAGAGTAAGACGAAAGAAAGTAGTACCTTAATTTTGTTGCTCAAATCAATATTTTTCTGCAAAATTGGAAGTGTTGGTCCACCAACGGGAAAAACATCTTGATTAAGTAATATTTGAGCCATATCAGCAATGCAACATATCAGTCAATTAAGTAATCAGAATCAAGTTTTCCCCAAATACGTTACCTTGTAAGACACATACTAAAGACACACTTTCATTTTACTTTCTGAATTTCGGATCCAAATATAATTAGAAGAAACTTGGAAGACAACAAAAAAATACACTTCTACAGAAATAGTATCAAACAAATGCTAAGAACTAATCGGATTCCCATCACACAGAAAAATCTAAAACAATTTTGGAATTTGAGAAATAACGTTGAGAAATCTACAATCAAACTTCAATCTATACACCAGTGAAGGATTTGCAAAAAAAAAAAAGAACAGATCGAAAGCAAAAACAAACATACGCGACTGAAAGTTCTTGTTGAAACTACCAGACTCCTTGAATAGCTGCTCAAAATGAGGCTTACAATACAACACACCATCCATTGATGAATATCTACTCAGCTGCAAATAAAAAAGCCATAAACTTCATCAGAATCTGCTTCTGGGTCAAAATGTCCATTCAATTGCTAGCTGATGAAGCTTAAATCAGACACAGACCTGAAGTATGCTTTTGCAGTGAGTGCATTTGAAGCAAGATTTGTGATAACCAACTCCATCTGCAGAGAGAAGCTCCACTGGATAAACCGTCTTATCGCAAGCCTTGCATTTTTGTTGAGTCATTTGCCTTCACTTTTCTCACCTTCTTCTTTCTTCTCCTTAAATTTCAAAAAACCCAGAAACAATAAGGTAAGAAGAAACCCCAATTGAGCAAACTCGTAATCAGAGAGGACACAACATTTCTAAAAATTGTAATCGGAGAGAAATACACGGCGAGGAAACCCTTACCAGCGTCGGAATCGTGGTTGTTATCAGAAAATTCCTTCGATTCACATGACAAAACACCATCGTCGCAAATGTCTAGATTTTGATCTACCAGAAAACGTTTATTTCCTATCAAGAAAACGAATCAAAAACCCAGATCGATAAAGAAATCATGAATCTTTAAGCATAGTTAAAGAAAATTAAAAATTAATAAAGAAAGTGATGTCGATAGATCCCGTAAAAATCTGAGAAGCTTGAATCTGAAATTGATGAAAATCCAGCATTTTGAGATTTGAGTTTGGAATAAGCAGAAAAAAAACCCGGTGATGGTGTAATGGAAATCAAAAGATGCAACATACATATTAATCGGATTTGATGGGAGAGAGAACAATTTGATCGTGAGGAGAGTGGGGACGAACGGTTTTTTGTTACAATTAGACCTAAGATTTTTAATTTATTAATTGGAAAATAAAAGAAATTGAGAATATTTATGGGAAGGAAAAATGATGAGGTGTAATACGAAGTCACTTTTCCTATGTGCCGTGAGTTTAAAAATTGATATGCCGAAAACATCTTTAATAAATTTCAAAATTACACTTTTTGCCATCAAATTTTTGTGAGCCATATTTTGTCGAAAATAATTTGGTTTGGTCCAAAAATTTATTGTAGTCCATATTCATTAAATCCTAATTGATACCTCCATAATTTCTTATATATAAATAACAAAGTCTAGGCCTTGCTGTATATTATGTCACCGTTGTTTAGGTTCTTTATGATCGCATGTTTTATCTATTTTGGTAGTGCGCAGTTCTTCTAATAATATCACGTCTGTCGTATTATACTTTGATTGATCCAATGTTTTATAGATTTTCTTATTTCGTCTTATTTGCATATATGATCAGTTGTTTCTTTGTGTTTATATGTTTTCCGTTTATCTTATTTGTTCTTATATTCATATTCGTGTGATCGATTATTGATGTTCTTTGTGTTTATATGTTTTGTAGGTTTTACGTAGGAGATCTATTATCGAGAGGTATGGTTTTATTTTATAGATACAAGAATCATGTGTA